TTTTTTTTTTTTTTTTAAAACATTGATCTAGCCTTCCATACCTGGAATAAACTCCACCCGGTCGTGGTTTAAAATACATCTTATACATTGTCAGATTTGATTTGCCAATATTTGAGGATTTTTGTGTCTATGTTAATGGGAGATATTGGTCTTTAGTTTCTCATGTCTTTATCTGGTTTTGGTATTAGGATACAGCTGGCCTCATAATATGAATTTGCAAGTGTTGTGTACGGGAGGAGATTGTGAAGAATTGGTATTTTTTCCTTAAACGTTTAATAGAATTCATCAGTGACACCATTTGGGCTTTGTGCTTTCTATAATGGGAGTGATTTGATTATTTATTCAAGTTTTTTAAAATTTATTAAAAATTTTTTTTAAGGTTTTTTCATTTTTCACAGAGTGAGTGGGGGAGGGGCAGAGAGAGAGGGAGACACAGAATCCAAAGTAGGTTCCAGGCTCTGAGCTGTCAGCACACAGCCCTGATGCAGGGCTCGAACCACGGAGCATGTGATCATGACCTGAGGTTGGACACCTAACCGACTGAGCCACCCAGGTGCCCCTAATTCAAGTTTTTTTTTTTTAACAGATATAGATCTATTCAGGCTATTTATTTTTTTGTAGGAAATGGTAGCCATGTCTTTTAAGGAATTTGTCCATTTCATCTAATTTTTCAGGAATAGAATTGTTTGTGGTATTCTCTTATTATTTTAATGTCATTAGGATCAGTATTGACCGATCATTTCTGAGATTCATAATTGTTTCTTTTTTTCTTGGTTAGGTTTTCTGGAAGTTTATTAATTTTATTGGTCTTTCAAAGCAGCTGTTGGTTTCATTGATTTTTTTTTTCATGGTTTCAATTTCATTGATTTATTCTAATGCTTCCTTTATTTTGCTTGCTTTTGGCTTAATTTGCCTTTCTTCTGTAGTTTACTAAGATGGAAACTTAGGTTACTGATTTAAAATTTTTCTTTCTGTTTTTTTTTGGATGTTTATTTATTTTTGGGGGAGAGAGAGAGAGAGATGAGCAGAGGAGGGGCAGAGAGATGAAGACAATACAAAGCAGGCTCCAGGCTCTGAGCTGTCTGTCAGCACAGACAGCTATCTCATGATTATTGATTTCTATTTAATTCCATTGTAGTCTGAGAACGTATTTTGTATCATAGCTGTTGTTTTAAATTTGTTAAGGTGTGTGGGGCGCCTGGGTGGCGCAGTCGGTTAAGCGTCCGACTTCAGCCAGGTCACGATCTCGCAGTCCGTGAGTTCGAGCCCCGCGTCAGGCTCTGGGCTGATGGCTCAGAGCCTGGAGCCTGTTTCCGATTCTGTGTCTCCCTCTCTCTCTGCCCCTCCCCCGTTCATGCTCTGTCTCTGTCCCAAAAATAAATAAACGTTGAAAAAAAAAATTTAAAAAATTTGTTAAGGTGTGTTTTGTGGCCAAGACTATGCTTTATCTTGGTGAAGGTTCCATGTGAGCTAAAATAGAATGATAAAGTGTGTGTTTTACTATTTTGGATGGAGTATTCTATAACTGTCAATTAGATCATGTTGATAGATAGTGCTGTTCAGGTCATTTATGTACTTAACTGATTTCTGCCTCCTTGATCTGTCAGAAGTCTCCCAACTATGAGTATAAATTTGTGTATTTCTCCGTTCAGTTCTGTCAGTTTTGAGGTACATATTTTGATAGATGTATGTGTATGTTCTCTGTGAGGACTTGAATCCAGGTAATGAGTTAATTCCGATGCTGTGTTTCTTAGCTCTAAAGTGCCCATTTTATCTGTGTTCGGATGTGTGTACGTTGTGTGTCTGTAGACACATGTATCCGAGGGCCCGGAGACCATCCCCAGGTTCAGTGACTCAGCGGGTAGTCCTTCTTATGGCTCTGACTCCTTAATGGGCAGGCGTACAAAGCAGAATCAGGGACGGGAAAAGGCACGTGGAGCAGAGTTGAGAGGAAGCCAGGAGCAGACTTCTAAGAGCCTTCCCCCGAGACACCCGAGACGCCCGTCAGTGCCCCAGCAGTGAGATGTGACAGCAAATGGGAAATGTCTGCCCCGGGAGCTCAGGAGACTCAGTGCTCAGAGACCAGGAGCTGATGGCATTGGTACTCTCTGCTTAGCACAGAAACTTCGAGACCAGAAGGAATGCATGTGTGTGTATAAAGCATATTGCTTACACACAGTTTAGGCTCAGCAAACCATTCGTATTAGGGCACGGTGAGTCTCCTGAAGTCCAAGTTCCCAGGTGCCAGTCAAGGGCGCCTCACAGCGGACCTTTCAGGGGCTAGCAGTCTCCGGCCTGCTCTATTACTTCTCTGCACGGCACCCATACCACGTATCCGTCAACTTATCTCCTCTGTTCCTTTATTTTGTTCGTGGTTTCCTCTGTTTTATTAGCCATATTAATCATAATTCGTTTTAAAGTTCTTGTTTATTAATTCCAATATCTGGGTCTCCTCATGGTCTGCTCTATTTTATTACCTATTTCTTCTGTCACGTAAATGATAATATTAAAGAGCTAACTTTTTCTTGGTTTGCCTTCCTTCCCAGTGTACTGTGTGCACACTCTTGGCTCCTGCAGTGTGTAATTTAGTAAAGGTTAACGTATGCATCTACTCTTCAGATCGTAAGCGCTTTAAGCACAGGAACGATGTTTTCATCAGCAGTATTTGCAGCAAGGGGAACAGTTCCAGGCCCTTAGTGGAAACTCAGTTTGTGCAAGATACTTCTTTTATCCTACATAGTATAGCACAAAAGAAGGCGTCCCGTATGTCAATTTTTAGTGAATCCGAAAGAGATAAGCTCTTTTAAATCTCTTCCGTGTCCTGTAGTTCTGACACTTTCATATAGAAAAGGAATATACCATTACAGGAACAAGTGTCATTCAAAGATGTATGTGTGGACTTCACTCAGGAAGAGTGGTATCTGCTGGATCCTGCTCAGAAGATACTATACAGAGATGTGATTCTAGAAAATTACAGCCACCTTGTCTCAGTAGGTAAGAATTTTTTTTCCCTTGTGCCTGACTACCAGTACATTTCTGGTGGTTGAAACATATGAATTGCCTGTGGAATTTTCTGATTTGAAACTCGAGATTCAGGGCCATGAGATGACCCGTCTCTCTCTGGCCCCCATAAAAAATGCTGTTTTCTCAGGGGTTGAGATTTGGGCATCTCCCTTGGGTAGCTCCCAAAGCTGTACCTTTCAGAGTTCCTGAAGCCAGGCTCTTTAACCAGTCTTGTATTGTTTTTTCTTAACAGGATATTGCTTTACTAAGCCAGAAGTGGTCTTCAAGATAGAGCAAGGAGAGGAGCCCTGGATATTAGAGGCAGGATTCCCAAGCCACTGCCACCAAGGTGAGTTAGTGAATTCATGGGCAGATGGAAGGCTAGGGGATGAGATCTTAGGCCATTGGTTTAGGGTTTATCACTTTTGAAATCATTCTTCAGAAATTTCTTTTTTTTAGGGGCGCCTGGGTGGCTCAGTCAGTTGAGCCATCCAACTCCTAATTTTGGCTCAGGTCATGATCCTGTGGTCTATGAGATCGAGCCCTGTGTTGGGCTCTGTGCTGAGAGTGTGGAGCCTGCTTGCTCTCTGTTTTCTCTCTCTCTCTCTTTCTCTCCCCTGCACCCTCCCTCTCTCTCTCTTTCAAAATAAATATGCTTAAAAAATGTCTTTTTTTAGTCTTAGAGCTTTGGAAGTGAGTAAGGACGGTTGGCCCACATCCCCCTATTACCTTAATCATACTCCTCCATATGTCACTTCCACTCATAAATGCTTTCCTTGTCCTTCAACATTTTTGAGTGATTTACTTGTGCCCACGATGCAAACTTAGTTGGTTTCATCTCATAATTTTTCTTGGTTAGTTTATCTTTTAAAATTGTTTTATTCTCTTTGGACGCCTTGTGTTAGTTCGTGTGTATTCCTGCTGTACTTGTAGATATTTGTTTAACAAACATGTGGTGGGCACCCACTATGACCTGGTTGTGTTTTTAGGTAATTAAAAGCATAACATCCCTTTTATCATGGAGCACATATTACAGTGAAGGACAAGGAGCCTGTGTGTGTATGCACGCGTGCATGCTTGTGACTACATACATACAGTTTGTGATGGGGAGGGAGAATGATGGCGTGTGCTATTTGGTAAGGACATCAGAGAAAACCTTTTGATGAGGTCCACAATAGAGATGAGACTCTAATGAAGTGAAAGTGTGAGCTGTTCCAGGCACAGGGAACATCAGGTGCTAAACTTCTCAGCTGTGTTTAAGAGTGTTTGAAGAATGGCAAGGGGGCCATTGTGGCTGGAGGTGAGTAGGTGTGGGCAAGATTGGTAGGAGATGATGTCGTAGAGGTAGTGTGGCCCTTGGTAGTTTTTTTTTTTTTAACATTTATTTATTATTGAGGCAGAGAACGACAGAGCATGAATGGGGGAGGGTCAGAAAGAGAGGGAGACACAGAATCTGAAACAGGCTCCAGGCTCCAAGCTGTCAGCACAGAGCCCGACGCAGGGCTCAGACTCAGAGACCTGAGCCGAAGTCGGACGCCTAACCAACTGAGCCACCCAGGCACCCCAGGCCCTTGGTAATTTTATTTTGAGTGATATGAGAAAACCTTGTGTTTTTGTTT